GAAAGTACTCGAACGACCTATAAATAGTCATCTCTCGGAGGAATCAGTCCAATCATCACCCGAAGACGATTGTAGATACTAACAATCGAAACGTCGTGAACTAACGTGACTTGGAATCTCTACACTTTTTATTTTTATTTTCTTTTTTCATTTCTTTATTTTTATTTATTCAAATCATTTTATATAGTAGACAATGGAAGTCCGAACTAGTGAAATTCATCATGAAACATTGTCAATCACCTTGAAACAAACACTCATATCATAAATAGCAATTTTTACATATCGAATTTCAAATAAAAATATGTTTCATCCGTAACACGATGGGCGAAGGTCGGATCCTCTACTATTCAGTAATTAAGTGGATGACATGAAGCCAGTAACAGAAAATGCTTTGAACTATAACAATAAGCGACAATCTTCGACAACATCAACCAATGACCCTCGAATCGATAATGAAAAAAATTCCTTCCCACCGATTAAAATTCTAGCAACCCCAGGAGCTAATCCTCTCGTCTCGAGTCAACGAGGAACAATCAAAGCTACAAAACGATTAGAATCCAGGGGTGTTTCGCCCCGTGCCGTATACTCCACTGAGAGGCTTTAACCACCCCGCATTCCGCGCTGCCGGGAGCCAAGAGGGTTTCATTGTAGCGAGCCGGGGGGCCGCCAATAAAGCTCATTCATTTATCACTGCTGATAAAGCGCTTCTTTGGAGTTCGCTTGTCCTTATATGCGAAATTTAAATGGAAAAAATTTTGGAGTGGACTGATTGTGCTGTTTGGGAAAACAACAACAAATGCAGTGTTTGACTACACTGTTTTCATACAGAGGTATCTACCTGCCTAGTAGCTCCACAGTATTTCAAGCGGAAATTTACGCTATTGAATTGTGTGCGGAGACATTGGATAAATCCAACCTCACTCACAAGTCAATAAAAATATTCTCGGACAGTCAAGCGGCGTTGGAAAGTCTTGGCTCCTGCCGAGTAACGTCTAAATTGGTAGCAAATTGCCAAAAACGACTCTCCTCGATAGGAAGACTTAACAGGTTGTCTGTGATCTGGATTCCTGGGTATACTGGCCTGGAAGGTAATGAATCTGCTGATTCCTTCGCAAAGGAGGGTGCTGCAAGCAGCTTCATACGACCAGAACCTGTCATTGACGTCGCTCTAGGCTTTGCCAAACAAAGATTGAACGCCGCGTTATACAAAAATTGACATTTTTCAGTATGACCATTTAAAGTTTTTGACGCAGCATTTTGGCCAATATCTTAGCAAATAACTGGAAAAAAAGAATGCAATTAATTTTATTAGTTAGTTTGACTATCTTATTTAAGTTATATACTGAAAACATGCCGGTAAATTATGGAAAACAAGGTTTTTAAAAAAAGTTCCGCATAGTGCCACTTTTGATTTCCGTAAACCCACCTGTTTTTGAATAATTACCCATCACTACCGAAAGATCAATGCACAACACAACAAAAAAATATTTTTTGAATGTTTCCTACACTAAATTAGTCAATTTCTACTAATTTTGGGGTGATAAAAATGAAAATAGCAATGAAAAATTTTTATTAGCTCTGGTTTTTGATATACACAGTACTTAATCTTAAAGAGTAGTTATACTATACGTGAAAAGTGAAAGTACATAAAACAATATTGTTATGTTTCTTTNTAGTACTCTATTTTTGATAGCAAAATAGATATCGCACCTTGAAAACAAAAGCGGCGTTATACAAAAATTGACATTTTTCAGTATGACCATTTAAAGTTTTTGACGCAGCATTTTTGCCAATATCTTAGCAAATAACTGGAAGAAAAGAATGCAATTAATTTCATTAGTTAGTTTGACTGTCTTATTTAAGTTATGTACTGAAAACATGCCAGTAAATTATGGAGTTATTTCGAAAACAAGGTTTTTAAAAAAAGTTCCGCATAGTGCCACTTTTGATTTCCGTAAACCTACCCGTTTTAAAATAATTACCCATTACTACCGAAAGATCAATAATGGAGGTTAGAAAAATATAATAGAAATAAAAAGAAATTATGTCATAGAAACAAGAAAAAATATTTATTTGGCAAAAACAATTAGGTTATAATCAGTACAATCAAGATACACTTCAATTATGTAACGTTTTTCGTTGAAATGCAAGTTTTAGGTATGTATAAATCACAATTTTTGCCGGTATTACTTAAATCTTACAACAGTAATAATGAAACAAACTTTAAAATTAAACATGAAATTTAAATTAAAAAAGAATAAAGTATTTTTCAGAAAATAAAAAATGAACTCTTCTAGAAAATAAACTGATCTAGGTACTTATGCTTATATTAGTGATACCAATAATTTTAATGAGATCGTTTGAAATACGTAAGTTGTATCAAAATTATCGTTTGGTACATACATACTGCTATACTACTGAAATATACTTTCATAGCAGGAGGTATAATAACTGGGAATCAAACCAGCATTAATGAGGCTCCCTATGTCAGTCTTCTTTCTTTCGGATATTTCCAATTCACGCTGATAAAGCGGTTTGCGTTTTGTATGACAATTATTTCTATTTGTTCTTTTACTCAAACCAAGCTCTTTAAAATCATCAAAATACGATCTCTTGTACTGTATTTTAATCTCATTATGTTAATTATTCTCAATTTTGATAACTTTTATGTCTGACAACTTTACAATTTGGCCATCTACATCTTTATTTAGTCTAGGAACTGGTAGTTGAACTGGTAGTAACCCATTTCATTTACAATGAAAGGTGTTCCACGTTTTTTAGCGCCTCGAATAGCAGAAATATATTGCGAAGGCACGTATATGGCCCCAGATCTAAGACATCGTTTAACTCGTTAACTATTACAGAATGTACAGAATGACCCTCATTCTGAGTATGACCGCGTATCAGGAACTTATGTGTTATGGACCTAATTTTTAAGTATTGGACTGCGTAAATATACATCCGATAATAAACTCTTCTGCTGACCACAGCAATTGTCAGAGTAAAAAGTTATGTCCAGATATTCGTCGTCAAAAGAAGATTTTTTTTGCAAATATTTTAATACACAAGTACATATTTCATTTGCTTCTTGGTGTCCTTAAGATTCATCCCAGAAGAAGCATTCAGTTTCGTCAAGTTCAAGCTCAGAGATGGTAAAGTTCATGCAATTCATTTTAGACTTATAATAAAACGTAGAAATCTCTAGTTGTTGACAAACTGTTTGAATTGGATGTTGAGGCTTTAGGATCTGAACAGTTTTCCTTGTTTGGAATTGCTAGCATTAATATTTTTCTACCCCTATCTCTTGTCGGATTCATTTTGATAACCTTGAACAAGGAAGAAAATACTTTCCTCAAATGCAACAATGAAATCCAAATATAGGAAAAACTATTCCCGAAATCTCTATAAGTAATAGGAAAACATAATTTAGTTATAATTCACTATAACAATATCATTTGAAAAAATTGTAGATGTCATATTTTACAAAACAGTGGCGGTATTCTCAATATGACGCTTATCTAACAAAATGAAACATTTTCATCCTCTTCACTGTGTGTGCCTCCATGTTGTCTTCAACAATCAAAATATTTGTACCGTTAGCATAACTTGTAACGAATATCGAGTTTGTTTTACAGATGAACGTAATCAGATCATCAGCAAATAACAAGAAAAAAAAGGGCCTAAATTCGAACCCTGGGGAACTCCCTACTTTATATCACGATCATCGCCGATACATTGACCAATTCTCACTTTTTGTCTCCTACCTATAAGATAAGATCTCACCAAATCATGTGATACCCCTCTTACACCTGATCTATAAAGCTTGGATAGTAACAGTTCATGGTCCACACAATCAAAAGCACGTGAGAAATCTATGAAAAGGCCCATGACACATATAATGTTATTATCTACCAAGGCTATGGCTAAATTTTAGTGGCACTCTAGTACTTGCCCTGAGGTAATTCATCATCCACTAGAGTGAATGATAAAACTGAAGTGTGTTTTGAATTATGTTTTCCCAAAACTGATATAAAACTGCTAATCCCTCAGAAATGGTTGATTCGATTTCCAAAAGTGGACTAGTGTTGGACAGAATACTGAAATATATGTCAAACAAAATTTAGTAACACTTCCATTTCCTGAAAAAAAGTTGGTAGTGCCTCCATTAAAAGTAATGAAATCTCTTTACGTGACTTTTATAATGACCTCCATATACAATGTGTATATAACAACGAAAACTTAACAGACCCGTTTTTTTGAATATAAAAAGTAAGATTTTCTAAAAAGCTCGGACACGTCTATTTCTAATTGAAGGGGGAACCTTTCAGACTAATCAGATTTTTTGTAGTACGCACCCCCTCGTAGGGATGCGTCTGACGACCCTTATTTAGATAGGGAAAGTAGGTCGAGAGGCACCTTGTTTTAAAGGTCTTTCGAATACCTTTACAACTCTGTTAAAAGAAAATTTTTGTAACGATTAGTTTTCGACATAATTTGAAGTTAAAATTGCCATGTTAATAATACATTAGACAGACCNAAAGTTCTGAACGTAAATTGTACCTTAATAACAATTTGATTTATTTTAAAAAGAGTTGAACTCAATAAAAATACCTTTAAATCTTCAAATTATCTCGAAAACTAATCGTTACAAAAATTTTCTTTTAACAGAGATGTAAAGGTATTCGAAAGACCTTTAAAACAAGGTGCCACTCGACTTACTTTCCCTATGTAAATAAAGGTCGTCGCCCCCTCCGAGGGGGTGCGTACTACAAAAAATCTGATTAGTCTGAAAGGTGTCCCCCTTTAATTAGAAATCGACGTGTTCGAGCTTTTTTAAAAATCTGACTTTTTATATTCAAAAACGGCTCTGTTAAGTTTTCATTATTACACACTGTATTGTCTCGTTGAAAAGTTATAACTTATATATATTATATCAAATTCTCACAGACTTTATTTTTCAGAAACTATGTCAACGGTTTCATCAATGCTGATCGTGATTTGTGGTTGTGCAGTAGTTTGTCTCCTGTCAGAAGTTGGATCTCTCTATTTGCCAAAGAAGGTAATTATATCGTGGGTCTCATCTTTTCGAAATCAGATCACTCGGGTTGACTTTAAAATAATCTCCCTCTAAGAATTAGTTTGCAACGACATGGAACAAATTCATTAAATCAAAGGTGTTGTTTCTTTCGTAAATATGCTCGGACACGTCGATTAGTATTTTGAAGTGCCCTTATTTTCACGCAAAAAAAATTATACAGTGTGTCTCAAATATGAGATATGACTTCATCGATATTTTTTTTAAATGACAACCCTGATTTTTTAATGACTTTTATTACCAAACCAAACTCTATTTCTTACACCAACAACTGAAAGTGAAATTTATAGCATAATACTATCTCTAAAAAACATCAGATCTGTCTGCTATGATGAAATTCCTGTAAAACTACTGAAATTCACTGCGCAAGAACTTTCAAAACCCTTAACATTGATTGTCAACATGATGCTTAGTAATGGCATATTTCCCAATAAATTGAAAATTGCTCACATAAAAGCAATTTTCAAAAAAGATGATAGAAATCAAATTGAACATTATACCAGTAAAATATTCGAAAAAGCCTTTATATAATTGCCTTATAGCGTATCTAGAAAAGTTTGAGTTATTGAGTGACACCCAAAATGGCTTCCGAAGAGGCAAATCTACTACACGAGCGATTTATCAAGCCTTGTGAAAGAAAACACACTTTAATGATTTGTCTAGATCTGTCAAAAGCTTTTGAAGGTGTCGACCATAATAGGTATACTAATAGGCAAGCTTCGTTATTGGACAGACAGAAACCCATACTGGCTTCAACATCCAGAAAAAGTCAATGTTAGGGCAGAGATTGTTGGTGATCGAGTTATAGGACCGATTTTCTTTCAAGAGAATCTTACTGGAGCAAGATATTTAGAATTCTTGCAGGAGGACCTAGTTCCGAATTTGGCTATTTTGTTCCCTTGTCCTATAGAAGCTGACGTCCCGAATAGAAACATCTCGTTTCAACAGGACGGCGCGCCTCCTCATTTTGCGAGAACTGTCCGTGAGTACCTGAGTGATGTATTTCCAGGCAGATGGATTGGCAGAAGAGGGCCCTATGAATGGCCACCTAGGTCTCTGGATTTAAGACCTTTGAACTTTTTTCATGGTGTTACTTGAAGAGCAAAGTGAAAAGCAAAGAGCAAAGACCAAACCGGCATATATTGAGGATTTGAAAGAACAAATAAGACAGGCGTGTTGGCTAATTTTCGGCGAAGTAATCAGAAATGTTCAAAACAAGTTTCATTCCCGTTTGGGGTATTGTTAGTTAGTAAATGAACAATATTTTGAACACTTGTTAAAGGAAGACTATTGAATTGAATTCATTTTTTGAATTAGATAATGTTTGTTAAATATATTTTAAAGGATAAGGAGTAAAAAATTGAAATTTGGCAGGCATGTGCAACTTGTTGAACCCTTTAATAAAAGGCATTAAAAAACAGGGTTGTCATTTAAAAATATATCAATGACGTCATATCTCATATTTGAGACACACTGTATAATAATTTTTTTTGCATTAAAATAAAGGCAATTTAAAATACTAATCGACGTGTTCGAGCATATTTCCGAAAGAAACAAAACCTTTGATATAGATATTGTTCCATGTTAGAGACTCGCACTTTATATATTTTAATCTGAAAGAGGACCAATAATACGGTCTTCATTATCACAACTACGATGATCAGAGAATCTCTTGAGCCAGGTTTGGCAACAATATCATCATCATCGTAACTGCAGTGACCATCTTCAGTGGCCATTTATTCTCAAAGAATGTCTGGGCTTTAAGTTTTATAGACGACGCTAATTGGCTGCTGTGCCAAACCAAAATCATCCTCGAAGATTGATGTCGATCTTTTTTGGGTAAATTTTCGTTATCTGGACACCCGGCGATTTTGAAAAAATTCTTGACTGTACCTACGTATTTTGATGCGTAGATTACGAATCCGAAAGAAAAAAGCGGCGCTCTCCCTTATTTAAAAAGTTACGACCCTTCAAAGTTCAGAAAAGGGCAACTTTTCAGCCTTCTTTTTCACCAAATAAACTATTTAAAAACACAAGCATTTATTTACTAGGTCACCTTTACACCTTATTCCTCCTTCTTTAACACTTTTCACTTCAATAATCAACATTTTTCTTATAAAAATGTTAAAAAATGTACGGAGCTGCTTTTTGGTTACATATCACTGTATTTTACGTTTTTAAGGTTAATGATATGGTTGGTACGACTGATGCAGTCCATATTCCTGAAGTAATTCAAATGTTTTTTACCTTCATTCTTTAGTTTGTAAATTGGTTTTTGTTGGTGTATTACGAATTTGAAATAGTAGGCGACGGCAAATACCAACCGCTCTTTTCTGAAATGTCACTAGTAACTAACCTAAAAATAGAATAATGTCACCAGGAGAAGCATTCGTTTTTAAATTAAGTTTTTTATAAGAAAAATATTGATTATTGAAGTGAAAAGTGTTAAAGAAGGAGGAATAAGGTGTAAAGGTGACCTAGTAAATAAATGCTTGTGTTTTTAAATAGTTTATTTAGTGAAAAAGAAGGCTGAAAAGTTGCCCTTTTCTGAACTTTGAAGGACCGTAACTTTTTAAATAAGGGAGAGCGCCGATTTTTTCTTTCGGATTCGTAATCTACGCATCAAAATACGTAAGTACAGTCAAAAATTTTTTCAAAATCGCCGGGTGTCCGCATAACGAAAATTTACCAATTAAACGTAAGAGCGTGGAATACAGGATCCAAATTGAGGTTATGTGTAGCAAAACAGCATCAATTGTTTGATAAGTGTTTACAGCTTAGACAAGGTAAATCTAAGGTTTACAGTCACGTAACTCTTTGCATTTTTGAATGGCGGAACATGTATCATCATACTCGTTTGTAGTTGTGATTGTAGTTTTTTCTCTAATTCCCCAGGGTCTTGCACCATATCACACAAGAGAAAGAGTGTTCTTAGAACCTGAGAAGAGGCCTTTCTGTAATGCATTCACAGGTGAGTAGTTGCAAAATGATCAAATATGAATATTTACCTGAATATTATGTAATCTAGAGGGCGTTTGAAATTCGATCCTCAACATTGGGATCTCGGAAACTATGAGAGATACGAAGACGGTTAAATTGGGGCAAAGTTGCACATTTACCTGAGGAACAATATGGGAAAGTTCTGAAATTTCGAGTATATCCGGAGATATCAGGAAAAAACAGAAATTTCGGAAAATGGTTTTATTTTTTCTGGCTTTATTTTTCGAAGGGGTCTAAAATAAATTGCACTTTCACATTGCCACTTTTTCCCTGCTACATAATGGTGTTTTCAGTTCTGCTATCCGACGTTTCGTCTTTCGAACACCAGCATCAACTAAACTAAATTTGGCTTTCATGAACTTCACTCAATAACATTTTGTTATTGTACAAGTCATTGAATTTTTGACGAAAAATGGCTTTCACGAATGAAGAAAAAAGAGATATGAGACAAATTTATTACAAAAATACAGAGTTAGAACATCGGAAATGTATTTAAACTTATATCCAGAAAGACGACAACCACATCGAACTATGTTCAATTCATTGGATCAAAATCTCACCGAGTTTGGTTCGTTTGAAAAGCCAATGAAAAAATTCAAAGACAGAATCAACAATCAAAGTTTGATAAATGAGGTGTGTATGAGATAAATTAGACAGTGTGTCTTTGTCAATGAAAATAGACCTTGAGCAAATGTTCAAAATGCTGGCTGTCCTAACACTGTTTCTATCGTATTTATCAAAAATTTGTATCACATCTCTTTTTACTCCTTTCGTGAAAGGCATGATAAGAATTCATTTTTTTCAATATCTCCAATTTTTTGAAAAAGAATGTTGACTTATGATACATCGTTGAAAAGGTAAAATCTGGTTCTATTCAAAACAGAAAGAATCCAATGTAGCGCCCATGAGAAAAAATGAAGTTGATGATGGTGGCCGGCAGACGAAACGTCTGATAGCAAATCTGAAAACACCGTTATGTAGTAGGGAAAAAGTGGGAATGTGAAAGTACAAAATGAAGCCAGAAAAAAAATAAAAACCATTTTCCGAAATTTCTTTCCCAACAAAAACGACATTCGATGCTATCTTGAATCACCAAACCTCCCGCAAATAATTTGCTTTCCCTTCAGGTTGCGGCAAAAAGCGATCCAACTTGCCAGCCCTGGCGGACAATGGAGAAGAGATGGACGAATCCATAAACAGCCTGCTAGAATTGAGCGCGGAACCTGCAGTGGAGGACCTCTCGCGGCAGATCATGTCGGAAGCCAAAATCTGGGAGGCCATCCAAGAAGCGAACGTCGAGCTGAATCGGCGTAGACAGAACCCCAGACTACTAGATGGCGAGCAGAACGACGCTCCCGTTCCCGCCAAGAGCGCCACGGCGAGCTGTGCCCTGCCGCCATGTTACATCTAAATATCGATTTGGTTATTCAAGGGATGTTGAAACGAATAAGTCGTAATCAGGGGTATTTTTCACGTACACGTCGAGAAATACAGGATAATCTTTCATAGTCGTGGCTTGCTATAAACTTTCTTAGTTAAATTCTACACTGAGAGTCAGAATTATTATTATTATCGAATTTTTCCACGTCTTTTGCTGGGGCTATTCACACAGGTCCAATATATTATGTGATAATTTGAATTTATGAAGTTTTCCATACAGTAATTTAGTACCTCAAAGATTTCATCATTAAAATTACTACTTTACTTCGTGAAATCAATAAAACTGTTCATAAAAATAATTACACTATCCTTCATTATCCTTTATTTAGCACAAAAAAGGTAATCACATACACTTACATAGAGTTTGTCAGAATATATAAAATACAACACATTCAACTTGAATAATTCACAGTTGAAACGAGAGTTGAAAAAAATGCAATAGCTAAAGTCAGTACTCAAATAGATACAGGTTATTTCAAAATATGCCGCTTTAAAGTTGTTTCAAAGGTATAGAGAGAGGTTGCCTCTTGAATAGAAACATGTAATTCATCAAAAGCATTTGTAGCTTTCGTAGTCTACATACCTTGGTAATGATAGTTCATCTTAAATGCATTAGTTTTGATTATATAGTTGGCAAGATCTTCAAAACATAGCTTGTTTTCTATTATGTCTTCTAAGTGTTTTACTTTTTCTTCAACTGCAATTTCTTCATTACCCACATTCATTTCATATTAAAACTCCTGTTGTAAAGTTGAACTGACAGATCAATCTATTTTCTAATGTCTTTTATATAACAGAAGATAGTTACAACTCAATTAGAAAAAAGATTAATTCTAGTATAACAGGTAGATTTTGAATATAGGCGAAGCATATGAACATAATTTTTCGATGATATTTAGACAATTGTGACAATCATCACGATCTAGAATTCTTCAAACAACTAAACTCTTGAGCAGAACATAGTTTATCCCAGTTAAATATTTCACATAGTTCATTAACATAAGACAGCAACAGTAGAGGCCCTAAATTAGAACCCTGAGAAACACCTGAGCCAGCATAAATTGACGATTGCAGGATAATAGTTGCCATGTTCCCGTTGACTACAATTATATTGGTGGAGATGGATGTCTTTTCAATAAAACCACGTTAATACATTGAAATATAACCCCGGACTGATGAAAATATATTCTACTCTAGCTCCAATAAGAGCCTGCATCATCCTCATGAAACGCCCTAGTTCAAAAGATTTGACAGTATAAATCACAAGAGTTAAAAAAAACAATCTAAAATGAAATATGCAGTATTTTTGTCTGTGAATATTTTGAATGGTGATTAACATTTTGTTTCAATAGTTTACTTTTCCTTTACTATTCCTAATATTTCACCTTGTTGAAATGCCATAAAAAATAATGTTCTCCAAGAACTTGATATTCACTTCATTTTATCATGTATACTTCATTTTTTTATGTATCATTTTTGACGATTCTGAATATATCAGTTATGAGAAAAAAATAATAAATTCATATATTTATGGATTTGATGTTTTATTGAATTGAAATTTGTATTTTCATCTTGAAGACTGACAAATTCATTCTGAAGTGAATATACAGGATGTCACAACAACCAGTATTTCTCTGAAGTAAAAAATACCATTGCTGCTTACTGTTTGTTCCTACCATACAGATTGGCTGACCGACACCACTCTGTAACATAAGTTGAGTTGAGTATTCCACAAGGTTATATTCGGAGGTCCAAAAATTCGCAAAATGAACCTTCATACGACAAAGCATGGAATTAAGTCGTCTCCTGATGATGCTCACTTGGTTGGCGAAACGCGCTAAATGACACCTGACAGATGACTGTTATATTGAAACACGAAGATACAGCTTAACAAAAGGGAAAAGAAATGAATGCAGGCAAAACGGTCGAAACGCATGTAAAACAACGTATTTTGACATGTCATTGCTGAATACTTCGCTTTCCCATTGCTCCACCTTTGAGACACCCCGTACACATTGAGGGATCGCACGTTAAAATGTTACAGCCTCGTTGAACTGTCATGTTTTTATGATATATTTTTTGTCGCACCTTGTACACATCGACGCCATGGCTTTTCCTTGAATGTTTTATTTTGACACACCCTGTACACATTGAGGGGTCGCCCGTTGAAACCTCAAAGCCCCGTTAAACCGTCATGTTTCTTTCTTAAATGATGTATGAATGCCATGTTTTTTCCTCAATCTGATTTTTCATTCATCATTTTTATTAGTCCACTTTCACGCTTCCAAAATTTTCATCTACATTTATTATTTTTATAATTCAACCACGCTCTTGTTTTTGAATCCCTTCGATATTCATTCCATCCTTCTCTGCATCGATTACGCCGCACATGTCTCTTTCCCACTCACTAACGTCTCTCTGAAACACTTACCAACGACGCGACGCGAGACCTTGAAATGCGCCTTGTTCCCCCACTTGGTCCTTTGAAGAAAGTATAGCAATGCATGCAGTCTTGGTTCATCATAGCAGCACTGATGATACCTAGGCAGGTCGAAACAGCGCTATCTGATGCTGGGAGAATCCTTTCTCTTTGGGCTGTGGTGCCTAGCAGTAAAATCTGTTCTGAAATATATGACATTCGATTCAATTTCGGTTCATATTGGAAAACTGACGCCCATGAAAAAAAATCTTGGCACTTCCGAAGTGTTGATGATGAGGTTGTTATTCGATTGAGTGGAAATCCTTGATCAAAAAGTCGAAAGTGGTTTTGAATACCATCAACAGTGATGGGGAGACTTAAATGGGCTGTATCCTTTTTGGGGTGTCATTCAAAAACTAGGGAAAGACATGGAGTTTCAAATGAACTGGACAGTTGTTGTGGGTGTGGTTTCCTAGGAACTGCAATGATAACAATCATTTCAAAGATGGTTTCGGTAGATCATTCTGATCTACCGCCCTAGCTTTACTAATAACAGAAATATCACGTGTTAACTGAATTTTGCGACACTCTGTACATATAATGATACTGATAATTTATTGATCAGCTGAGTGATAGGTTCTCCTTATACTGGGTGTACATTGAAACAAAATTCACGTAATTTAGTGTGCTAATACAGTCTACCAACACGCTAGCGAAACGTCAGGAAGAAATTCCATAAATCGACGGCCTTAAAACCCTAAAAATAGTGACAATGAAAACTTCGGCCGCGAAAGTCTCAACAATTTTGCCAGATTATGTAACTGGGCTGTTTTGGAATGGACGCATAATACAGGGCGTAACTGAATTTGAGGAGGAGATTCCTCATCGAAAAAACGATAGGATCTTTCATATAAAGAAACTTCATTGGAGCATCCTTTGTTAAGATACAGCTCCTTAAAGGGGGTACATAAAATTTTTATAACAATTTTTTTCATAAGCACTGAAAAAATTGCAATATTGAAATTAACCTGACGTTTTGTACTACCCAAAAGACACTCAGCCAGTAATTTATTTGGTTCACTCCATGGTTGTAAGGGTTGGAAAACGCAACCCCTAAAATTTATTTCCAATGTAACTTTTTGTCTTATCATTTGTTTACCATTTAAAAATTCATTTCCAATAGCCTGTTTCATTTTAAACAAAAAATGTCTTTTGGGTTTTTTGCCCAAAATAAACCAGTTCGCAGCAAAAAAATATTTTAGGAACAACTACAGAGATACATTGTCATAAATGCGAAAATAAGAAACTAATCTATCTAGTAGAACGCTATTAGCGATAGTGACAATTGAATTGGTATGACGCTGTCAGTTTGTGAATTTTCGAAATTGAATTAATACTAATTGTGTGTTGTTGTTCTGTTCTCAATTTGTTACTTTAATAATTCACTTTTTATTAAAATGGCATACACAAATGAGGAAATGGCTGATATGCATTACGTTTACCGTCTGTCCCAGGGGAATGGGTAAGAAACTTCTAGAAGATATGCTGAAATGTATCCTCAACGGCAGCATCCTTCACATAGAATATTTGCTCGACTTCATCAACGATTACGAGAATATGGTTCATTCGACAAAAGAACGCAGGATTCTCAGACGAATGTAGTTTTTCTTGGGACAAGATTATTAATTTTCATAATTACCACATATGGGCTGATGAAAACCCTCACGCTATTGTCGAAACTAACCATCAAGAAGAGTTTTCTCTTAACGTGTGGCTCGGAGTTATTGGGGATGATTTAATTGGGCCTCATTTTCTACCTCCTCTATTAAATGGTGAGGCATACGTTCAATTTTTAAGAGAAGTGCATCCAGTACTGCTGGAGGAAGTTCCTTTGGGCGTCAGAAGGAATATGTTTTTTATGCATGATGGAGCTCCCGCCCATTTTAGTCAAGTAGCACGTCAGCATTTAACTGAAACATATGCAAATCAGTGAATAGGTCGAGGAGGACCACAGAACTGGCCAGCTCGATCCCCGGATCTCAATCCTCTCGATTTCTCTATTTGAGGCCATTTACAGCATTTGGTTTATCGTACTCCTGTTCGCGATGTAGAGGACTCAAGAAACCGCATCATCGATGCGTGCAGGATAATCAGAGAGACTCCAGAAATATTTGAGCGAATACGTGGCTCAATGCGCCGACGTCTAGACGCATGCGTAATGTCTGAAGGTAGACATATTGAACATTTACTATGATTTCTACATGTTGTGTGTTTTGTTAATAATAAATTAGTTTTGTTTATTACCCTTCAATGGTTTAATGCAGGTACTAATTACAAAATAACAATAAATCCAGTTCGCATTCATGACGATGTATCTCTGTAGTTGTTCGTAAAATAATTTTTTGCTGCGAACTGGTTTGTTTTGGGCAAAAAACCCAACAGACATTTTTTGTTTAGAATGAAACAGGTTATCGGAAATAAAGTTTTAAATGGTAAACTAATAATAAGGCAAAAAGTTACATTGGAAATAAATTTTAGGGGTTGCGTTTTCCACCCCTTACAACCATGGGGTAAAACAAATAAATTACTGGCTAAGTGTCTTTTTGGTAGTACAAAACATCAGGTTAATTTCAATATTGTAACTTTTTCAGTGCTTGTGAAAAAATTGTTCTACAAATTTTATGTACCCCCTTTAAGGGGCTGATCTTAACAAGGGATGCTCCAATGAAGTTTTTTTATATGAAAGATCCTATCTTTTTTCGATGAGTAATCACCTCCTTAAATGTTTTACACTTATTCAGTTACACCCTGTATTACTTTAGCTTTATGGTCGAAACTGTTGAAGTCTATCTGAAAAATATCTTCTGTAAACCTAAACTGGGATCATTAGTCAATGTAAACAATCTTTTTCAGGAATATTGAGATAGTCTTATTTGAATAAAGGTTTAATATCCAGTCAAACTAAACAGTAACAAACATTTGAACAACATCCACTTCAGCAAGTAACAGGACTAAAAATACTCATCAACTTCTCGTATAAAAACCACCATTTGGTCGAAGGTCAATGTCAGTGAGATCTAGGCGACGATCAGGCGTCACCAAGATCGTTAGTCATATCCCTTGCATCGGCTTCCACCATGTTTCTCTGCTGAAAATATGGATATCTCGATTTGGCCAGCCAAAGCTCCAGTCTCAGACTTGGATCCATGGGTATGGGTAGTGCATCGGCTATCGAGCTTCTTTTCTTCAGGTAATTGAAGCAACAAGTCCTGAAGTGTCTAGTTCCGCAGGCGGATTGACATTCTGAGCCGCAGGAGTTGCAGGATTGGGCTTCGCTCCAAACGACACCTAGAAAAGTAAGGTTTTTTTAGTCTGTAAGGATATTAAAGTACTTTCATTTCGTGTGAATTGAAAATAACGGGATTGCTTTCCCGACCTACAAAATTATGTTATACTGAGGAAATTGTCTTGATTAAACTAAAAATTTTATAGAATATTCATTACCATTCAATAATAAGTGTTTTATGATAGTTTTTGGCTTTCTACGTTTTCATCAATGATCAAAAAATGTGGGATTTTTTTAAAGAAAACGGATCGTACTTGGCTACCCGTATTGAAGGGAAATATGGTTAGTGGCGAAACAAAATAATATCAGAAAACACTTTATATTACATTGTATGCATGTATGAAAGGGGTATATTTCTGGGAGGGTATTTTTTTTTTTGGGAAAAGACGTTTTGGCTTTCTACTTCTTCATCTGTTCACAAAGTAGTTATGGAAAATAGTTATTTTCAAAAGGGCTTTTTTATCCAGTTTTTGTCTGAAAGGTACTACTTTGCATGATCTAAGTACATACCTTTGTGAAGAAATTACAAATCTAACACCGAAGTCCTGGGGAATTCAGAACTGGAGACCCACAAAAGGGCATCCAGGGAGGACTAGCAAATGACAAAGAAGGTGATAGATCTGGAGAAAATTAAATGGACTCATTTCAACCCTATATGAACTTGCAAACAGGAACCAAATAACTTCGTACTGGGTGCCAGAGCATTCAGGAATCACAGGTAATGATAAAGCTGATGAATGCGTTAGACACGGATCATCAACTTCATATATAGGTCCTGAACCAGCTCTGGGGGTACCAAAATCATTGGTACGAAACCAGATTAGGACATGGACCAACAAGAAGCATACAGAGTACTTGACAAAAGTAATTGGCAACAAACACAGTAGAACCTTCATTAGGGAACTGTCCGAGAAAAGAACCGAAGAACTTTTTCAATAAAGTAGGGATCGGCTCAGAATAATTACAGGGTTACTAACCGGTAATTGTCCATTTAGAGAAATTTTGGCTTTCTACTTCTTCATCTTTTCAGAAAGTAGTTATAGAAAGTAGTTATTTCAAAAGGGCTTTTCCTTCCAGTTTTTGTCTGAAAGTTACTTCTTTGCATGATTTACATATCTTTGTAATGAGTTTATTTTGAAATTGAATGCTTTGTTTCTTTCTTGTTTGCAGTCGATTGATATCTGTTACACGAAAAATAATTTAATAATCTATTTCATAATTACCAGTGAAATTAATATTTCCATTGGCAATTTGAATAAAACGATCAGATTTTCACAAATTTCGATTTTCATCGTCTAAAATAGGTTGTCAAAAGATTTAAAATTCACGACAGAACAAACAGAATCAATATGAATGAAATATTAAAGGTAGTTTAAATACTAAAAACTAACGGAGCGGAATATTCGCATAACTAAGTCGAAATAGAAAAAAATTGAGCACAAAATGAGTATAATTGTTAAAAAAAATGTGAAAACGCTAATTTATAATGACCTGAAATTAGAATGAATAATAAAACGATCAAGAAATAAAGTGAAATCTCAAATGTGTATAAACAACAAAACTTATATAAAAATAAAATGAAATAATTAATGATGGAAATGCAAAAAAATAAGGGAAATACTAAAAAAAAATTGAACAAAGTTACGTCACAACGTTTCGATTGTTAGGATCCACAATCGTCTTCAAGGCATAACTGTATCATTATTTTCAACAACCTTAACATGTTATTATTTTCATCATTTAATATACATGTATTTCAAATCAAGCACCTTTTTTTAGGCAGTGTGATCAAAAAACTACATTTTTCAATTTACAAACTGAAAAACCTCAGATATATTTTGAACAAAATCCAACTGAAAACAGTATATCACGCATTAGTGGAATCGCATATAGCTTATGGAATAGTAGCTTGGGGAGCAGCCGGAAAAACTATTATTATTAATTTAGCGACAGTACAGAGAAAAATTATCAAAATTTTATTTTGTAAAACAATTCGATACTATTCAGACTTTCTTTACTCTAAAACTGAAATTTTGGACCAAAACAGTTATTTTTTTTCAATTTGAATGTTGAACAGCATAAAACAAAATCCACTCTGATAACTAATGAACAACACTTCAACAGAAGACAGAAACACAATACTTTACTTGCCTCCTTCAGCTTTAAAGTCTATTGGGCAGAAAAATTTTGAATTTTTGGGCCTGAAACTCTAAGGGCGCCTTCCGCAAAATCTCAGAAATTAATAATATTGAACAATTCAAAAATAAGTTGAAAGGTTATATCAAATCGACCTCGAGGGTTGATATACAACTATAAATCGAAAACCGCTTCATGACATAGTACTTCGGTCAACAGTAAATTCCCTTCTGATTATAAAAACCATTCCATGATATATATTTTCTGAGATATATTGCTTTGCCCATGCATGTGTTGATATGTGAAAATTACTCTCTGAAACACTAGTTATATTTTTCATTTTTACCTCAAGTGTATGTTTTTCTTGTATTTTTTTAATTTATTTTTATGCATCATTTCTAGAGATTTGGAATAATGTATATGTATCATATCTCAAACTCAAACTTATTACCCTGCATTTTTTCAACCTATACAAGAATCAGATTTCTTACAGGTTTCCCCACATTGTTGTACATTATTTAGGTTAGCTTATGATACTTCTATGTTGTAACTGTTTCCTTTGTGCAATAAATTATTATCATTATTATTGGTGAATATTACTGGAGTTTTTCCCAACACCTAATCGTTATTTTTAACACCTAGACACGTGTTTCGATCACCAAGTGATCATCTTCAAATAGGAAGATCAAAACAGTTTTAATCTTCCTCTTTGAAGATGATCACTTGGTGATCGAAACAGTTTTAATCTTCCTCTTTGAAGATGATCACTTGGTGATCGAAACACATGTCTAGGTGTTAAAAATAATGATTTGGTGTTGGGAAAAAACTCCAGGAATATTTATTACTACACCAAAGGTTCCAAACAATGCATCATAATTATTATTAGTGGAAGTCAAAGTTTGAAATATTTACTAAGAATCATTGTCAACCATCTTAAAACAAATCAGACTTTTTTGTGAAATTCTACTTACCGAATATGAAGAGCAGTGCAAGAAGAGCTAACTCTTTCGTCATAGTCAATTCTCTGAATGCTGCGTCGATGACAAAATCACCACCGAAAGTGAATTTCCAATTCGGCAACAAGTTCTTTTATAAAGTTCCATCAACTCGCCTATTTTTTCCTCCAATGCAAGAGAGGGGATTTGCTGTGTATATCTTATCAATGTCGTGGCCAAGAGGAGGTAAAGACCCAGTGGTGTGTCTGGTGGAAAGGGTTCACGAGGATTTCTGACAGGAATATTTTTCCATTACACTCCCACATGCATGGGAATCCCACAAAACACAATCTTTTCCGTCGTACCAAGTGTCAACCAATATAGCAGAAAAGTCATGATTTCAAGAATTTCAGGTGTGTCAAAATTTAGTCTAGGTTTTTTTTTTAAAACAAAACACAAGTACTACAGGAAAATCCTTAAGGCGATTTAAGAGCGGTTCCTGTTGGATTTCAATCATTGGAGATTATATTCATTTGGAAAAACATTCTCAGGAAGTTTATTCCACATAAAGGCAGTTCTCCAAGTGGAAGAGTTCCTAAACAGTGAAGTTCGAGGCGTACTGAGTTGAACCTCTAAACAATGAGCAGTCACAGTCCGTTGCGTATTTCTGATATAATAATAATAATAAGACGTGTATTAATCCGAATTCACAATTACATGACCAGTATGATAATACATATATTTTGTGATACACAGATTAATTGGCCTTTTGTCAGCTTTTTGATACGGGATCAGGTGCTGTTGAGGCCCAGAGGGAAAATGCATATACTAAAACTAAGATTAAGATTATATTTCGAATATTATGAAAACTGCCAGTTAAGTACTAGATATATTAATGTTGAGATAGCTTCTCTTTTATTATTCTTTTGAATATTCAGAAGATTTGCCGTGCAGTATGTTGAGGAACATTTGAATATCTCTTTCTTATGGGAGGGTATAGTTATATACCCTTCTACGAATATTGACATTATGAACATGGCTTTTAAAGATGATTTTTTTGGGTAAATAAGGAGGTTTTTCGTATTTTAAAATTTTATAGAAGAAACAGGTTGTATGAAGTAGTCTTCGATTATACATATTCATCCAGTTTATTTCCTTCAGTTAATCGACACTCTCTGTCTTCTCCTTATACCAAATATCAACCTCAAACAAGAATTTTGTAATTTCTAAACGCATCCGGAATCTCTATTAACTAAACACATATATGTTATCACAGAAGTTCATGTGTGAGAGAACAATTGAATCACATAGTACCTTCTTTGTGCTTTGATTCATAAAATTTCTCTGGTGGTAGATCATTTTCAAATTAGCATAACCAATTCTCAACTTTGACGTGACGTGCTCCGTGAATTTAAGTTTATTGTCAGTTATCAAGCCCAGATTTCTAGCGGATGATCTGAAAGAAATAATCTCATTAGCCATCCTAATGTTAAAAGATGCCTGCAATTCTTCTCTGATTCTATCATTACAAAAAAGTTGAGCCATGGATTTTTTTGGATTGATTTTCAATAAATGTTCATTTGATATTTCAAAAAGTTTTGCAGATCATTGTTGAGGGAATATTCTACTGCTGCAGTATCTGATGGGTTAAAGGAAAAGTATAGCTGGGTGTCGTCTGCGTATAGATGATACTTGCAACGAGTTAATGACTTTACGAACTGTGCAGTATAAATTGCATAAAATAATGGACCAAAAATACTCCCTTGAGGTACACCAGTGGTGACCGTAATCGCCTTCGATGTCTCATTTTTATACATTACTCGCTGTAATCTGTTTGTTAGGAATGATTTTACCAAATCGGAAGCTCGCACAGAAAAGCCGATATGATTTAGAATTGCCAAAAGAATTCTGTGATTCAACATATCAAACGCTTTTTTGTAGTCTAGAAGTATCAGGATCGTTGCCTTACTTTCGTCCATTCCCCTCAGAACATCATCTGACATATCAGTCAATGCAGAGCTACAGCTGTTGATAAATGTTACTATTTGAGACTGACAAATCTCCAATCTTTCTTTGATGTTCCAGACTATCAAGGTTGCAAGGTTCGTCTTTCCAATCAGGCGAATAGCTCCTTCCTGGTATTGACGATGCCCAATAGGCTGAAACAGCTGTCTACCGGTGGCTCTCAAATTGAAATCAATATGGGAATGATCTAAATAGTACTTATCTATTTATATTTTCATTTTCATGGAACTATTTTCCAGTAGCTTGACTGCATTAACCTTTCTCGATTTCATGGCTATGACTGGTGAAAGTGGCGATCCCATTAGCAGCCCCTCATCTTGTGTAAAGAATTCGTCCCTCAGTTGGAAATAACAGTTTCGTACACAGCATCCTAGTAATTCCATAATTACTTCTATCGGTAGATTAGTTCTCTCTTCCAAGTTCCTGTCTTCGGATAGCTTTCTCTGTATGATTTGGAGTGCTTCTTCGACCGGAACGTTGCTGTAAAGGCTTTCCACGTCGAAGCTAATTAGTTGATCCTCATGTGTGACTTCAATTGACCCTAGTAGTTCGACAAAATGCCTTGAATTCTTCACAAAATACGATGTTTTTCCTTGTAATGGTTGTATTATGGGAAGTAAAAATCTAGAAAACTAGTGAAATTCATCATGAAACATTGTCAATCACCTTCAAACAATTCTTTCAGAATATTCAACATTGAATCGATTGTATCTGAATCCCCTAAAATAAAATCAGTTACATACCGCACTGGCTCAATTGAATCTCAAAGGAAAATCTGCTGCAAATTAGGTGATAGGTTTATGCAAACAGCATTTTTATTTTGGAGAATCAAGTTGGCGCTGTTGCTTGTTTAGTGTTTCAACTTTATGCCACGTAAACTAATTTGAGAAGCGGGCTTTTGATATTATGAACTTTTCCAATAAATACATCGAGGGAATATATAATCGGCTGTCGATCGGAAAAGTGCATTTCATTGTTTTGGGGTGCTAAGTCAATTTTGATGTTTGTACCAGCTGTATTATTATGTATCAGAATATGAAACAAACTTGTACTTTATCGACCTTTTTTGGGTAATTGTTACCTTCCACAATCTGAAAAAATATAAAAATTATAATGGAGAACTTTATACAAGTGTAGAAGGGCAAACTTTTTAGTTTACCCCGATAAGTTACTGCGTAAAAATCGAAGTATTTTTCACAGAGAAAATCTTCTATTTATCAGTCGTATATAACAACTTTGCCTATCAAAAAAAAATTATTAAGAAATAATACTTATCTTTTACGTTTCGGAGGCCAAAATCTGCCTCCGTCTTCAGAAATGGATAAAAAAAATTCGAATATATACGCAGTTATTCCTTTTTTGATAGCTTATTTCTTTACTTCTTCGACAGATGTCAAAGAAGTTTTGAAATATGAAATTATGTCAATGTTGTTGATTGACAACTGAAACATTCGATGTAATACAAGGTACTCTCCGATATCAGTTTGTTGCCATTTCGCCACTATCCAAAGTTTTCTTCAAGATGGGTAGCCAAGTACGGTCTATTTCTAAGGAGCTATTCGAGATACAATTCTCTCCAGACATGAGAATATACGCTGATTCTTTTAGCTTACGTCTCTTAGAATGAGGCTCATTGGTAATCTTTCTTGTTCTATTCCATTCCACCCGATGTTCACCGTCTGATTTTAAAATGTGTTCTGATAATTTTGATCCTGTCAATTGTCTATTTTTTATATAATCTCGATGTTCATTCTCACGCACTTTCAATGGTCTTGAGGTTTCACCAATGTAACTTTTACCACAAGAACAAGGTATTTTATAAATACAATTTTTTGTTTTTTCTTCAGTGTTGTTGGGTTTTGTATGTGTGAGTATAGATCTCAGCGTATTTTTTTGTTTTGAAAGTAGTTCTAACATCATATCTATTTCCAATTCGTCTTAATTTTTAAAGGGACTTGTTTCTAATTCACATATTGGCAACAGCGCCTATATCAAGTTGAAATAATATATACGTACCTATATATTCTACTAAAAAAAGGAAAATTATCTTTATAAATCAACAATTAAGGCAAAATATAAATTATAGTTCAATACCACCTCCACAAGCCACATAAACAACAGTTGTTTTGTTATTTATTTATATAGAGGAAGATAGGTTAGGTGCACAAAATGTCATATGTTACAGAATGACTCGGAACATATGTAAACAGAACAGCACGCCACTGAAATATGTCATCTTTGTTTGTCTCAGACAGGTAACAGATTCATTGTCCTTTATTAGCTATAACCGAAGTTGCCAAATGGTGAAATAGAAACGAATCTCTTTAAATGTTCAATGCATTATTTAATTCCTCTTTTTTAAGTATTTAAATAGTTTTTTAAAGTAAAAGGTTGAAATGATAAGTTTAAAATGCGTTGTTTCAGAGCTCTTTTATGAAATCTACTTGATTTTCGTCAGGAGGAACATTCCCCATTTCTCAAGGCCAGCTATAATGGTATCCATAAAGAAAAATATGTTCGATTTATTCAAAACTTAGGTTTTGGCACAGTCGTCACAATTGTGGCATTAGAGGCAAAATCCTAAATCCGTGCACATTCATGCAATACATGAAAATGAACGCGACATGGGAAGATACACATTCTGATATGTTAAATGTTGTTATTGGAGTTCCTCAGGGGTCAGTATTGGGACCCCTAGTATTCCTTCCATATATCAATGATTTTCTTCAACAGATAAGAACATCATCGATTACACTCTGTGCTGTTGATACATTTGGTAACAGATGAAAACTCGTCGCTTACTTGCATCTAGTGTCAGAGTTAGAAATGCAAGTGGTGTAAGCTTTTCACAGACTCTCGCCCTGGACGCCCCAGCACATCAACAACCGATCAAAATATTGACAAACTGAGGAAAATTGTAATGGAGAATCGTCGAGTCTTAGGCATGAAGCGTGTGGCAGCAAAGTTCGTTCCAAGATTCCTCAATTTTGACAAAAAAAAACTGTTACATGAGCATCGTCCAGGGTTCTTGCCACATGGTCGTTCGGTCAATAATATTTTATCTTGAAGCTATGCATTGCAGTTGGGGTTGTTCTCATGCCTAAGCGTCGCGGAGCCATGAGAACGGAGCACTTGAGGTCCTACTCGAACTTCCACCATTGCACATCTACATACAAAGAGAAGTTCGACTGGTGACACAGAGGCTAATGCAGGGGCAAACTCTAATCAGTCAGTCACACGGTGCAGAAAACTGGAAACTGTACAATGAACTGAAGGCAGATCCAATACTAGTAATGCCCGTGGATAACATAGTTCCGCAGTACAACTTTCAAAAAGTACTCAAAATCATCATACCAAGTAGAGAGGACGGGCAGACCTGCTAAACCACAACCTCAA